AAATATTAGAATATTACCATTCTGAAGCCCCGAAGTATTAAGGAATGTAAGCATGAAGAAAAACTAGTCATTATGTAGTGCATGACCAAAAGAATCCAATATGCCCCCCTAGTTTTGCCAAAAGGTTCCAACCTGAGTCTGATCCAGTCTGTGGATCCAGCTGTCAATCTGTATAAAATGAGAGAACAGAGGAACACGACCTGCACCACAAGTGTGCAACTGGGAACTACGGGAAACTCTATAGGCCAAATGGTCTGGATTCAACAGGTAAATTATAAGAAAAAGAAAGAAATGAAGGGGGAGACTGTAGATTAAAGGAAATTTAAAAGACATTAAGCTTTAGAAAAAAGGGAGCATGATTAAACTAAAATATCTAGAAATGAAGAGTTAAGTGATTAAACCTTAAAGACATATTCTAGGATATCTGTGAAAATCAGGGTAGTGGTTAATTTGGGTGGGGAGGGTGTTTGGATCATGGCACAGGGAAGGGCTTCTGTGGTGAATGAAAAAATTCTAAATCTTTACCTGAATTGTAGAGTTAGAAGAAAGTTATCTTTCTAATAACTCATTATGCTACTCTTGGGCTTTTGCATGGTTTTGAGTTTTTTATTTCTCGATAAAAGGCTTTAAAAGTAATATAAATGGCAGAAGAGAACACGTACAGGGGTGAAGCTGTTGAGTCAAGGTTCCTGTGGATGATTAGGTGGAGCCGTTCAGGAGGCTGCTGGATTTACGTGTCTGGGGTTTAGGAGGAAGGTTTTTCAGTAGAATCTATGGAGCAATCAGCACATGATTGCTGAGGCACAGGAGGGGTGTGGAGAGAAAAGAAGGCTAAGGACATGGCCCCAAGAGGAAGACACAGGTTCTGAAGATGTAGGTTGAAGGAGGGGAACATTTGAAAAAAGAAACAGCCAGAAAGGCACAGAGAAAACCAGGAGAGGACAATCTCATGACCTGAGGGATGAGGTTTTCAGCAGGGGAGTGGCAACACCTCAGGCTGCCACAGTGTCAGGCGGCACACAGGCAGAGCGGGGTTGCCGGATTCAGCCACATGAAGGCCGGCTGTGACCTTAGCGAGAGCAGTGCCTGGTGGGCCTGTCAGTCACAGCATGGTGGCCGTGAGGAAGCAGAAGCGGGAAGTGCAGGCAACTCCTCACCTGTTTAGTTGTGAAGAGAAGTAGGGAAATGTGGCATTCAGGGAAAATTATTCCAAAACAGGGTTGTGTGAACATATTCACAAGTCTTCTAAAAAGCTGGAAAACTTCCTATCTGACAGCGTCTATGTTCTTAAAGAAGGAAGAGGCAAGAATACTTGCTATAAAATCAGGGGAGAAGTGGTAAGGTAGATGCTTGAAGAGAGGGCTGAACAGCTGATGTGGGGTAGAGACAGGGGAGGCAGAGAGAGGGGCAGGGAGGTGACCTGAGGCCCACTGATGGGGTGCTAGCAGCCCTGAGGCTCTGCAGAGCCTGGTGGCCAGGGCAGCTGTGACCCCAGTCCCCAGGCACAGAGACTCTGAATCAGTGTTTCGCAGCCTTCTGGTAGGACAGGAGAGGACATGTGACCAAATGACTCAGATTGGGGTTTCGAAGAAACAGAGGGGCAAGGAGTCCAAGCAGGCCGGAGATTCAAATTCTAGGTCCTGAAATTGGAGGACTAAATAGGCAGAGAAAAGGAAAACAGTGAGATTAAACATTTCCTTCTCCTTCCTGGGGAAAATGTTGGCCCTGAGTGAAGTGCTGATCTCTTGAAAGTTTATCTTTTGCATCTTCCCCTCTCCAACCTCCTAGCAACTCTCCCTCCAGGGTCCTGGGGTCCTCATGCTGCTCTACATCAAGCCCCACCTGTACTTTGAAGAATGAATTGGGGGGAGACATTTTTAAACGGGTACTTGTTAACTTAACTGTATCTACAATTGACTGAACTTCTGACAATGTGGAGAGAAAACTTGGGGTTAGAAACAATCCAAGGACGGTGGGGAGTGCTAGGCATTTCACATGCAGGAGAGGCTCCCCTCATGCCTTGGGGCTGAAAAGGACATTTCTTTAAGGCAAAATGCAGGTAGTGGAGTAAACATCTTTCTGTGATACTTTCAGAAAAAAAAAATGTTTTTTCTTGGCTTGGTGAAATGTGATTTCACCTTCTATGATAAAAGATAAATTATCATCAAGGATGTTTAATGGCTGCAAATAGATGTGATCCTCTGGGCTGAGAAACATTTTAAAGTGATAAATAGTTGTAATTAGCATTTCTAAAACCAATCAACTGTCATTTTCTATGTTAGTTACATGCTATTCTAAGCTCAATGGGTACAGAATGACCCTACTTTCTTAAACCAAAAACCTTGATACATGGACTGGAGACAGAGAAAAATAGAGCTTACTATGTGCCAGGCAGTATCCTCATTGCTTTATGTATATTAATTACTTTAATTCCTATAACCCTATAATTATTGCCTCATATATTGCCAATTATATCCTCATTTTACAGACGAGGAAATTGAGGCATAGAGATTAAGTAAATTGCTCAAGATCTCACAGCTAGTAAACAGGGGAGTCACTATTTGAACCTTGGAAGTCTGAAGCTTATGTACTAACAACAGACATGAAGTATCAAATGCATAAATTATTACAGAAACTTGTACTGTGTTGAATACTATGTTGAAAAATGTATGTACACCTACAGCCTATAAAGGTGACCTGTGAATGTGACCTTATTTGGAAACAGGGTCTCGACAGAAGTGATCAAGTTAAGATGTAGCCTTACTGGATAAGAGTGGACCCTTATTCAATAGAGGGAAATTTGGACATGGGTTCTGACATAGGGCCAATACCATGTAACTACAGGGAAGAGACTGCAGTGATGTGTCTGCGAGACAAGGACTGCGATAACCAAAAGCTACAAAAAGGCAAGGAAGAATCCTCCTTTTGCTTTTGGAGAGAAATCTTTATCAGGCTTCATTAATTCAACCAATGACATTTATAAGATAGTAAAATTGTTACCTGTTTAGGGGTTATCAAGTGTTTTAATTCTCTGTGTTTTATATTTATTCAAATTCAAAGCCGTTCTAAATAGCTTTTGTAGCATTTATCTTTGGAAGACACTACAGTAAATTTTGCAGTAGTTTTTCACCAGTTGTTGATAGCTAAGAAAATATTTTGATAGATAACTGCTACCATGTTTACAATAATTAGGCACAAAGGTACAAATTATTGTAGAAGTTTTTCAGATTATTAATACAAGAGTGTTTCCCCCTTAGGCAACAATACATGAGGTGCTATTGTTTTTTCTTTTATGTATGAGATGCAACCTAACTCTACTCCATTATTTCCCAACATATAAGGAATGTTCTGAAAGTTCATTTGAAAGTATATACTTTGAGATGAGGCACACTTTTCTAAAGAAACCCTGCTATACCTAGTAGTAACAGGTACCATCTGAGCCAGGTTCCAAGTTAGATACCACACATACTTTGCCAGGTTTAATTTTCATGATTATTCAATGAGATAGGTATTGAAGGCCTACAATCTCTCATCTTAAACCCTGGGGCTAGAGCTTTCAGATTTCAGCATTTTCTTATTTTAGAAAAATAATATGGTACATGCGGTATATACTAAGTCACGCCTCTAGTGAGGTCTGGGACAGCACTCAGTTACTGGATGAAGATTTCTGCATCAAAGAATACTAATTTTCATGCCAAGAGAGATGGATGAGGACTCTAGCCTCATGTTGGTTCAGGTAAGACTCGCTGCCTAATGAGTTCAGGTCAGGTCAAATTTCCTAAAAACTGGTTCTCTGAGCTTTTCAAATTTCATAACTGGGGATAAGGGTGTGGGAACCTGTATGACTCTCATTTTCTAGCGGAGAAAATGAGGTTAAATAGAGTCAAGTAAGTCACACGTCGGTGTGTAAATAGGAGTTGGAATTCAAACTCAGGTCTCTGGCTGCAAGGCTCTGGTCTCTGCATCACACCTGAATGCCTTACAATGGCTATTTCATCCCATCATCAACCCAAACCACAGAAAATGGCAGTGCCATACAGAATCTGAGCGTTACATGGCATTTCTAGGAGAGGGAGTTGTACAGGGTTTCAACCCTGGGCACTTCCCCTCTCACTCCTAAGACAAGGGACGACCTGACCCAACACATGAGGCAGTAAGACAGGAAATTCTGCCAGTTTTGGCAGAGGCAAAGTGGAAGGGGTCTGAGTGTAGAAAGGGAAGGTGGAAGATCAAGCTCTAAGACAGGAGGATGAATACGGACTTTGAAGAAAATGTGAAAAGTAAGAGGGGGAGGGAAGGCTATCCACAAATAAGAGGAGGCTTAGGGCTCAAGCAAGGAAGGGCCAGTGTGGACTGGCTGGAAGAGAGAAACTGTAATTGGAAATGGGAATTTTTTTTTCCCCTTCACAAATGAAAGACAACAGCAGAAGAGGGAAGCAATGGGAAAAAAGAGCTGAACCTGCCCTTTCCTTCCAGCCCAACCTCCCTTCACTGTCAGCAGCACTGGGAAGGAAGTGAGCACTGGTAGAGCCCTGTTCCATGCCACGCATCTCTGTGGCACTTCACCTTGACCTCATCCAACCCTAACAACCCTCCAGGGTCTTACAGATGAGCAACAGACTCGGCGAGGGAAACGTGCCGAGGTCACAGAACTTCAAAGTGGAGAGGTGGGATTCAATCCCAGCTCTGAACTATCCCCAAGTCCATGTTCTCTTCAAGGACCAAAAATGGGTGGGTGTGGGCAAAGCAGCAAGAAATCCAAGGCTGTGAGTCAAGTGCCAGGAGTTGGGGTGGCGAGGGAAATGGGGAACTTGGAGAGATACAAAATTTCTATTCATCAGGAGAAATTTCTGTAGCAGCTGGGAAGTGACAAACAGACACAAACCAGACAGTAATAAGTTACGGACCCCTTGTTAAGATCATCTAAGTCAACTACAGCATCAGGGAGCCATATAAATTCAGTTAGAAATTAAAAACAGTAATGCATTATATATACTTACTTCCCAAAGTTCATAGAGCTCCTTTCTGAGGCCCTCTGGTAGTAGTTGGGTTATCTGTTTCATAGCTTCCTGAAATATCAAACCATTACTTTAATTATATTGACATTTATCAAAGTTAACAACTACTCTGCAAAAGACAAATAGGTTCGGATTCTTACAAACAACTCCCACAGGGGCAGCAGAGTAAACTGGCCTATATTGGACAGTATTTATAGCTTGTAAGGAAAGCAGGCAGTTGTATACCTTAAAAAAATAAGTGTAATCATTCATATGGGCTTTGCTTAGCACCTATTTTGTGGTCTACAACACAACAGACATAGAAAAGGACAATGAAGAGGTCATGAGACAATTACAAAAATATCAGAGGTGTTCCAAGGATTTTACATCTGTGGATAAATCACAACATACCCACATACATTTCAATCATAAGCATATGAGAGTGCAAAACAAACCTGAGTGGGGAGAATGGGAAAGGAATACTGAATTACAAAGCTCAAAGAGATTTTTGTATATTCATTTTCTATTGTTAATATGTTTTTATTGCAAGATGTAAAGTACAACACAAATGAGTAATTATTGCCATTAACATAAATAAGGTTACATGATAGAATTTTGTAGGCTCACAGACTCACAGGCTGAAAAGGGATATTAAACAGCAATTAGCTAAACCATCCATGTAGTATCTGAACCCTTCAATAGCATCATGGAACACTTCTATTCTCTTTCCAAAAATGTATGCAGTGGGAGGAAGCCTAGTACCTCAAGAGGCTGCCCCATGGCTTTCGGCAGTACTGGCAGAAATTACTTTCTTACATCAAGCTGAAAATTTTCCCTGTAGTTCTTCTACCACACCTAACCCATCCCTCCTGTTTTCCTCTCTCACTCACAAACACAATGTCAAACAGGTGGACAGTGACCCCACTGGGCTGGACTATCTGTGGCCACAGTGACTGGTCCAAGAGATAACCTTATAATTCAAACCAGGCCACGCAGGGGCCATTTGCATTTGTCAAGCAGAGGCTAGGAGAGAAGCCATATTCCCTACCACAAGGAGAAGTATGAGAGTTAGCCAAAACCTAATGAAAAGCATAGATGAAATAAGAGAGTAGAGGTTGTCCTGTACTTCTAGGCTTTCTGTACTTTGTAGTCCCAAAGATTTCAGGAGCTACCCTTATCCTCCAGTCTCCTCCTTTATTTATGAGTTACTCCAGTATCCTTCCTTTATTTCTGAATTACTCCAGTATTCTCAAATGGCTTCAAATTCCTTCACCACCTTCATTCCATACCTTTTAATCAGCCTCAGTCCTTCTAACCACAGAGGCTAGGCTCTTTGAACGGAATATGGCTATAAAAACCATTTTTGGCAATATAAAGGTCTTACATAAAATAAAATAGTGAGTTGTAGGAAAGCAATGAAAACAAAATTGGACATTTGTGTATATATTTATTTATTACTGGGAGAAAAAAATGTTACAGAATACAACTGCTTCCAGAGCAAACCACATTTGCCAACGTCAACAATCCACTCTTATAAATAACATCACCATCTTGAATGGCTTATTGAGTTATAGAGTGGTAGCATCACACTACCCTTAGTATGAAGAAATTTAGTGTTATGTTGTACATGCATTCTTCCTTGTTTCTTTTTCATAAATTTCAGCCAAGAATACTTGAGAAAATACTTTATATTTTCACAAACCAACTGTGTCTTTATAGATTGCTTTTCTCTACATAATTCCAGAAACACAAGTTTGCCAACTACTTCCAGTTGAAAAGAAAGAACTAAATCATATGTACATACAGGTATATGAAAATCTCAACTTTAGAATGCAAATATGAAAGTCCTGCTCTGACAAGAGGCTATTTTATTCTCTTTAAAACGACACACCCAGAACTGCATACAGTGATTTATGTCTGATCTGACCAAGGTGGAAGAAAATGGAATCATCACCTTCCTCATGGTAGATACTATATTCCTTTAAGAGCAGTGTAAGACTGATTTGGCTTTTTGGTGATGATGTCCAATTACTAAGTTATTAATAGGCTTCTTGTTGTTTAAAATCACCATATTCTTTAAAAAACAAAACAGCAACTATGTTGTTGCTCTCTTCCTGAAACTGAACTATGATTTTCTGAATCTAGGCTGATTGGTATTTGTTATCACACAATCAGAACTGCATTTTTGCAACCTCGTAGAGAGTTAATATTCTTTGTTTGGCAGCATATACCAGAATCAAGCCTACCTTTTTAATTGAACCCTCTGAAATCAACATGGCTCAGGTCCAGGGTACACAGCTAAGTATGCCAGTCTTTCCCTTCCTGGCAAGCGATGAGCCCTGCCACTTCCACTTTTATACTGAGTTTCACCTTGTTGTTCAGACATAGATTTAGAGTGACAGCTTCCCTAGCCTTTTCCTCTGTTAGCAAAATATGTCAAAAATCTGCCTAAAGTGCTGAGCTGAATGAAGATTTCGGCAAATATTTTGTGTCAGTTTTGTGACAAGTATCTGGAAGGTATTATTCATCATTCAGACACTGATGAGGCTGAAAAGTGTAGCAGTCAACTGAAGACCAGATCCAGACTGGGTTTCAAACACGGCTCGCCATTTATTAATACTAATTGTGGAACCCTGAGCAAATCATTTGACCTCTTTGTCCTTCAGGTTTCTCATCTACACAATGGGGTCAAATAATGGTACCTACCTAAGAGGATCATAAGGATTAAGCAGTTAATACACATAAAGTGCTTATTATGTGCCAATACTAAGCACTTTATAAATCTGGCACATAATAAGCACTCTATACATGTTTGCTGTTTTTCATTTTCTCCTTCTTGTCATGCTCACTCTATAATAAAGTTCCATTCTCACTGTAATCTCCCAGTTCTTTAGCAACTTTAACCCTCCCAGACACATGCATACCACGACTCTGCCTTCTGTTTCAATAAGGTTTTCCCTTTGCAAAGGAATATGACCTGCCACTGCTGTATTCCAGCTTCAAGTTCCACCTCACTAGATCACGGTGATCCTTATCAGACATCATTTATCAACTTGCATTATAATATCAAGTGTATGTTAATATGTTTAGGAATGAGGCCACACTACAAGTATTGCTTTTGGCCCCCTTTCTAAATTTGCTTCTTCTATGCCCTCATTCTTCCTTTCATCTTCATACTCACTTTTCTCCAAAACAATCAGCCCTCCAGGTTTATCAAGTACAGTTGGTCCTCCATATCTGCGGGTTTTGCATTAATGGATTCAACCAACCATAGATTAAAAAAAAAAAAAATGAAAAAAAATGATACAAATAAAAAACAATACAGTGTTACCAACTATTTACATAGCATTTGCATTATATTAGGTATCATAAGTAAAACAGAGATGACAAAGTATAGGGGAGGATATGTGCAGGTGATATACAAATATGACACCATTTTATCTTGAGCATCTGCAGATTTGGTTATCTATGGGGGTCCTGGAACCAATACTCCATACATACTGAGGGACCACTGTATTTTTTCTCCCTCCTACTTCAGTTCAGAGGCTCAATGATCTAGCCAGCAAGGGCAAATGAGGTTTCCTGGTTCTCATTAGGCAGATTCCACCAGGAGCCAAGAAATCCTCATTTAATTATCTTAATGCATGGTTCAGACATCCAAATCTTGTTCATAAACACCATCTGCATAAAGAATTGTTCACCTCCCTCATTTTCTTCTCTCTTCCCAAATCCTGACTAGCAGCAGGAAGAGGCAATAGAACATCAGTGCTCTCCAAGCCTTTGGTTTCTTGTCCAAGACCTTGTGATTCTTTAAGATGTTTCCCCATTGTCTTCTGCTTATGACATTGATTCCCCTGTGAATCAGCAGGAGTGGGCAGCAGTCAGGAGGTTTAATGAGGCTGGAAAGGTTTTTCATTAAAGCCAGGAAATAGCATCCTGGAAGGCAGCAGTACCCTCTCTGATTGCTCAGGTCCCCTCTGTGCCTGTCCATGGGGTGTCACCAGCCAGGACTCAGCTCTGGTAGGAACAGTCATAGATCTTCCTCATTTCCAGTTGTTGGAGATGGTTCACACGGACTGGTTCTTCTCCAGAAGGTTTTGACTTGCTCCTCTGTGGAGTGAATCTCAAATTCACTGTGTGCTTCCAGGGGGAAGTCTGTCTTTTTTCTCTGGGCCCCATTTCTCCTTGCCTTCTCTTCACTTTAAGGACTTCGATGACTCACTGGTACTTTAGAATATGATTTCTCATCCACAATGTCCAGACTTACCCTTGAATAAAACTATCCTGCAATGAGCTGTATAATTGAGGAATTTTTTCCCTTCCTTTCCCTCTGTGTTATACTTCATTACTCACCATCCTCTGGTTCAGGTGCCAATTCCTTTCTGCAACTCAGAATCTCGAACTAATTGGTTTCTTTTTATATTAATTCAGCCAGTCAACAGAACAGTTCTTTACTCATAGCAGTGCAGATTCATATAGAGAAACATTTCCTTAGACTCCTCCCCTTTTCCTGTCTTGGTCAGCCTGTATCTTGGACCTAAACTTTGGCAGGACGAACACATTCCTTATACGATTCCCCTTGTGCCTATACTTTTGGGTAGGTTGGAACTCTTAAACTGGGACCCTCATTCCTTGTGGCCCTTCTTACCTTTGGAGGGCAAAAATCCTGCTGGCTACTGAGCCCCTGTTAGTCTATAGGTGTATTCAAAATACAGATCAAAATGGAGTTTCTTATGTCTTCCTTTTCTACATAGACACAGTAACAGTCTGATCTCTCTTTCCTTTCCCTACAAGCTCCAGTCTCCCCAGCTCTGAGAATAGACATTTAAGCCTACTTGCCCTGTAAAACCATCTCACTAAAGACTCCTACTACTCAGCAGTTTAGGACCAATCTCTTAGGCCTCCAATAAAAGTAGCTAGCAATAACTCTTGAATTGAAAACCAACCATTCAGCATTCAAAAAAGGCTTCCTTCATTTTCCAACTTCTGCTTCAAACACATCTTCCTCGTTTGCCCTGGGCTCTGGGTTTAGAGTCCAAATTGATGGTAATTTAATACATTATTGATGTTATTCAATTCTTTCTAATACAAATATTTGATTTTTCTTTACCTTCAACCCCTAAGTTAAAGGAGTAACTTAAAATTTACTAAATAATAATCATAATAATGATTCTATTTGTGATTTATAGAACTTCTCTCCAAAGAGCTTATTTAGCATGGAGAATTTCCTACAACCTCATTTAAATTCCAGCTATTTCTACTATTCTAATGAAAGTTATACTATCTACAGCTACATATTAGGGAGAACTGAAACCAACACAATTTTCTGTCCCTGTGTTAAAGCTGGGAGCAGACATAAACCCCTCTTATTGTGTTAAGGATGAGACAAGTGATAGGGTTTGGATGTTTGTCCCCTCCAAATCTCATGCTGAAATGTGACCTCCAGTGTTAGAGGTGGGGCCTAGAAGGAGGTATTGGATCATGGGGATGGATCCCTCATGAATGGTTTAACGCCATCCCCTTCATAATGAGTGAGTTCTTGATCAATTAGTTCAAATGAGATGTGGTTGTTTCAAAGAGTGTGACACCTCCCCACCCTCTCTCTCTTGCTCTTGCTCTTGCCATGTGATGCACCCGTTCCCCCTTTGCCTCCCATCATGATTAGAAGCTTCCCGAGGCCCTCAACAGGAGCAGATGCCTGTGCTATGCCTCCTGTACAACCTGCAGAACTGTGAGCCAATTAAACCTCTTTTCTTTATAAATTACTCTACTATTAAAAAGTAAAAAAAAGACTTTTTTTTCTCCACAGCTGGTGAGGCTGTGGGGAAAAGGGAATGATTGTACACTATTGGTATGAATGTAAATTAGTCCAGCCAGTATGGAAAGCAGTCTAGAGATTTCTCAAAGAACTTACAGCTACTATTCAATCCATCAATCCCATTACTGAGTATATACCCAAAAGAAAATAATCAGTCTACCAAAAAGACACATGTACTCATACCTTTACTGTTGCACTATTAACAACAGCAAAGACATGGAATCAACCTAGGTGCCCATCACTGGTAGACTGGTTAAAGAAAATGTGGTACATATACACCATGGAATACTATGTAGCCATGAAAAAGAATGAAATCGTGTCCTTTGCAGCACTGTGGATGGAGCTGGAGGTCATAATCTTAAGTAAATTAACACAGGAACAGAAAATCAAATACTGGATGTTCTCACTTGTAAGTGGAAGCTAAGTATTAAGCACACATACACATAATCAAGGGAACAACAGATACTGTGGACTACCAGAGGGTGGAGGGAGAGGGGGGTTAAAAAAACTACCTGTTGGCTTACTATCAGGGTGACAGGATCTGTACTCCAAACCTCAGCATCACACAATATTCCCATGTAACAAATCTACACATATATCCTGTATCTAAAATAAAAGTTGAAATTAACAAAAATAAAATAAAATAAAAATTACCTGGCCTCAGGTATTTCTTTATAAAAGCTACGAAAGAACAGATTAACACAACAAGCAAAATCCAATCTGCTGCTTACTCCAGAAAATCCCTGCTTCTGGAAGATAAGGCTGTAAACCCCTAAAACAGAGTCAACACTAACAGTTTACTCTTCAAAACTCATTACGACCTTCCTTCATATGTTTACTAATCTAAATCTATTATGTCCCAAACTGTGCACTCCCAGCTAGTTGCCTAACTGTCAGATCCATATTAACACTCTCCAGCCCAGGCCCTGAATCTCTAAAATTATCCTCCCCTGACCTTCCCCTTCCTAAGACACTACTAAGACTATCAAGGCAGTATTCTCCCTAACCGCAACAGGTCTCATAAACTTAGCTTTGCTTCAGCAACAGGTTTTTCTGGTGGTTTTTTGCAGAGTCAACAGTCAACACTGACCTCTTCTCGCCTATGTTTTTCTTCCTTGGGGATGTTATCTGCTGGTGCTATGTCCCCAACGATGCATTCTGCCATATCATGAACGAGGGCTAGGCGTACACATCTGATCAGGCAAGAAATGTTGAAAATTACACAGAATTATATTCACTACAAGTTCCTTCTCTATACTCTTCCAAAATTGCATAAAATATATTTTTTTTCTCCACCTTAACAGAGTATTTTAATGTAGTATTTTCTAAAGTAGTTACATTCTGCCAGCCTACAACAGTTCTGATCAAAACTGTTAGTTCATATTCAATAAAATACATGTGAGTGTAGGGGAAATTGTTAGCATGAAGTTTTTTTCCTAAATGGTTTGTCTCTGAAATCTCACTTTAAAAGGCTGATAAATAGGCCAGGTGTGGTGGCTGATACCTGTAATACCAGCACTTTGAGAGGCCAAGGCAGGAGGATCACCTGAGGTCAGGAGTTTGAGACCAGCCTAGCAATATGGTGAAACCCCATCTGTACTAAAAATACAAAAAATTAGCCAGGTGTGGTAGCACACACCTGTAATCCCAGCTACTCAGGAGGCTGAGGCAGGAGAATCGTTTGAATCTGGGAGGCGGAGGGTGCAGTGGGCTGACATTGCACCACTGCACTCCAGCCTGGGCAACAGTGAGACTCTGTCTCAAAAAAAAAAAAATTACATTTAACAACTTTCATGTTCCTGACACATGTGAATCATTCAATAAGTGGTTATGATTATTAGTGGTTAAGGAATAGTAGTTGTGATAATCATCATCAAAACATGAAGTCAAGTAATGAGATAAATGCCCGATCGGGCCAGTATGTTTTAGCCTCCCATACTACCGAGGCAATACAAGGCCCAACAGTGTCCTATGAGATTTCCCTGCGTCTACTCTCTTTCTGGTCCAGTTCAAATCCCAGACTACTCCAAATTGCATCTCTATTGGACTTCACTTTCACTTTGTACTATTTGCCAAAAACCTCCTCAGCTCCATACCATCTGCTGAGTAACAGAGGACTACTCAGGCTTCCCCAGTGAACCCTTTGCTGCAGTCAAGTTGATTTATTTCTCATTTGCAAAATACTCCTTTACTTTCCTACACTCAGGGCTTTGGTTTATCTGCCCTTCTCTTTGCGTGCAGTGCCTTCTCCTACCTCTCTGCCTATGTTAACCCTCTAGAGCTCAACTCAGACTGTACCTCCTCCATAAAGATCAACCAAGAACAGGTGATCTCCCCCACTCTTACAATACTTAACATTTTCGACTATAACTTATATTTCACTTCTTATAGAAGTTATTTTGGGCCTGTGTAAGTCACTTGGGATTTATTTACTCTCTTATATGCTAGTAAACTTACTTTTGTTCTGTGCTCAAAAAGCATTTTAACACTTGTCAATTGAATGAAGGGGGAGATGATACCTCTTTCTCAGCTGTCTTGCACATACAACTCCAAAAAGAGCCTCACCAATGTATGCTATTATCCATAAAAGGCACTAGAAAAGAGCACACAGTGTACTAATACAATGCTAGAATTTTAGACATAACACACTCACCTTCAAGGCCCCAATATCACACTTAAGTCTCCTCTGATACCCTAGGCAGGCTCTATCACTTGCCAACATAAAACCCAGATTGCAGTTTACAACAACGGAGGCAACACAACCCACATCCTAAATATGCATGGTTTGCTTCAAATAATTTTTCTTGACCTATAAACTAACCTACAACGATTTGACACGGGTCTCAGCGGTAAAAACGGGTGCACACCCATAGACCAGAATCCCTCACGAGCATCAAAGTCCAGCTCAGCTTACCGGTCTTTGTTAAGACGGTCATCTTTGATCACCATAGCCATAACTGCCATCCGGTACATGTGATCTGACACGCTCTCCGGCCTCTGGACATTTCTGTATACCCAGCCAGTCCGTGGGACTCTCTGATAAATATGAAGAAGAAAAAAGTTTTAAAAACCAAATACTAACTATCTGCTATGCTCTTCAAGAGATGTCCAGGATATAACACACAGAAACCGGGTCATAGTTTCAGAACCTATTACAAAATGTTTTGCTAAACTAGCTAAAATGATAGACATTTGGAATCAAATGAACTTGAGAGCTCAGAGAATGAAAGGGGGAGAAGACAGAGAGAGATAAGTCACAAAGTCCATTCGTCAGATTACTCTGTTACTGATGTATAATGACGGAACATATGCAAGTTCTTTAAAAAAAAAAACAAAAACAAAAAACAAAAACTGCATTTTTCCTAACTACAAGAATTGCGGCTTTTTGCCTTCAAATAATCCTACACAAGCAGAAAACACTGTATTGAAGGCTCTGAACGTGAACGAGTGATAGGCTTCCAAATTCTGAGGCACAAGGGATAAGGGCACTTCTAATTGCTTGATGCTACCACGTGCCGGGACTCTTCCTTTTATTCACATCATAACCTCATCTTGTGAAACTGCATTTCTTCCTCAGAATTCTACATCGCTAAGGAATGTTATAACTAGTAGTCAGAGTGGCATGAAACAGATAATTTACTTTGAACTTGGGAGAGAGACGGGGAAGACGCACATGATGAAACTCATGTGTATGACATTAAATCCTGTTTGGGGGCTGGCCTTGAGAAAAGTCTTGTTTCTGGAAGTAACTGTGAGACAGAGGTAAAGCGCTCCACTTAAAATCTGCAGAGCCGACAGATTCTATTCTTTCCACCCGTGCTCAGAAGCAGCCCCACCCTACACACACACACACACGCACGTGGTTCTGGGGTCTTGAGCCCCGGAAAAGCTCAGTGCAGGAAGGGCGAGGCCAGCTGCTCTCTGGGAACTGGCACGGCTGCAGGGCGGAGCTCGCGGCCCCCGCGGCCCCGAGCTCTAGGCTCAGACTGCGCGCCGTCCCAGCTGGCCCGGCTGCCCCTCCGGCCTCTTCCTCTGTCCACCGTCCGCGAGGCGCAGCCACATCCCCTGGACTGGGGCCTTTCCCGAATTCCGCGCGGCGGACCCAGCGCAGGAGGGGGAAAGGCCGCGGGCCCAGCGGGGAGCCGGAAGCTCCGCCGCCCCACAGTCCCGCCCGCTCGGCCGCGGCCTCCGGGCCTGGCGCCCGCTCACCTTGAGCAGCCCCACCAGCCGCAGGAACTGCAGTAGGGACCGAGCCCCGTGGCCCAAGGTCGCAGAGGAGACCGAAGCCATGTGGCCACGGAACCTGGCTGGGCGGAGCAGGCCGCGGCGAAGCTCCTCCCCGCCCTCCTCCTCCTCCCCTTGTCTGCCTTCCACCTCCTCTTACTCTTCTTCCTCTCTCTCCTCCCCCTCTTCTTCTGACTTCTGCCCCCTTCCTCTTCCCCTTCCAACTCCCTCCTCCTCATCCCTCTTCTTCCTCCCCCACTTCCGCTTTCTCCTCTCCCTCTTCCTCCTGCCCCTCATCCTTTCTCCCCCTCCTCTTCCTCCTCCGCCTGTTCTTATTCCTCCTCTCCCTCCTCCATTTTCTCACGATTTTCTCAGACCCTTCTGCCCAGCCTTCCCCTTCCTGGCCTTGGTGTCCGCTGCTTGGGCATTGCTCCATCAGTGGCAGACACCTTGCTTAGCACATACTGGGCACTCAGTTTTACTTTTCTTTGTGAAAAATAAAGCTCTCCTTTCTAAATTTATGAACCTCGTTATTCTTCAGTTGACAATGTAAAACCATGAAACTGGATGAGGTAACCTGGCAAGAGGGTGTGAATGAAGGAGAAAAGACACCCAAGACCTGAACCCCAACATTTAGACTTTGGGAGATCAAGCTGGAGCAACCAGTGAGGTAGGAAGAGAATTAGTAGGTAGGATAGTTGTGTCTTGGAAGCCATGTACAAAAATATTTCAAGAAGGAAGGAATACAGTCAACCAAGTCAATGTTATGTCAGATCAGGACCAACATTTGACTTCCAGACTTAATAAATTCCATATTATTGGTTACCCAGACAAAAGCAGTTTTCAGTGTAGTGGGACAAGCAGAACCTAGTGAGATAATTCTGAAGAGAATGGGAGCAAGTATTACAACACATTGGAGATGGGATTGAGGTGCTTTTAACTAGTGGAGAGATTCTTTAAAAACAGGAGATATTATGTATGTTTATTTACTGATGAAGGGGATCTAGTAGAAAGGGAAACATTGATTATATAAAAGACAAAGGAGAGAAATGTTTGAATGTCAGCCTTGAGTAACGAAAAGTAGTTCCCATGTGGTATACAAGATAAAAGACGGACTTTAGATAGGACTATGGAGAATTCATTCAAATATTAGAGGAGGACAGAGTATATGGTGACTAATCAGTCACAGATGTGGTCATGGGAGGTTGTAGAAGTTACCTTCTGATTGCTTCTATTTTCTCACCAATTTAGGCAGTAAAGTATAGGCTGGGATGTTATAATAACAACCTCCTTATTTCCTGTGTCTCAGCAGTTTAACACAGCAAAGGTTTATTTCTCTCTCATGCTAAGTGTCCATTGTAGATCAGCTAGAGGATGCTGCTTGCTCTAACCTCATTTAGGGAGCTAGGAGGCTTTCTTTGCTCTCTTTTGCCAAGATTGTAAAAAAAGAAAAGTGGCACTCTGGCTCTTAAAGCCTGTCTCTGGAAGTGATATGTAACCTTTTGTCTACATATCATCGGCAAAATAAGTAACATTGTCACATCTAACTTCAAAGGGGGCCTGTGGACTGCAATCTTGCTAGGCCTCTGGGAAGAAAGGAGGCTAGAATATTTATGAACAGAGGAGGAGGCATTTGAGGTTTA